TCCTTCTTCGTCTTTTTGGTGAGGCTATGTTGCTGCCGCTCTGGCCCTGTACAGCTTCTGGTGTGTCCGACGTTCGATTCGGAATCTCGGATGACAGCTGGCCAGGTCTTGCGGCTCACACGTGTTCGATTTTGTTTTGCGATTTCCAAGGAATGCCATCACACTTAGTTAGGCCCTCAGTTGGAACAGCCAGCGCCCCTGCTTGTTCTCTGGACGGGACCAGCGAGCGGAGTGTCCCAGGTGCTGGAACAGAGCGGACAAACGGCACGCCGAAGTCCGACAAGCCCTGGAGACAGGACTGGCCGCGAGTCTCGAAGACCATCCCCAAATTCACAAACATTATCTGTTGACATGCTGGCAGATTCCTTTCTCCCCCTCCTCCCACCTGCGAATTATGTTTGGTGGTGGTAGTGTTAGTAGCAGCAGCAGCAGCAGCAGCAGGAGCAGGAGCAGGAGCAGGAGTAGTAGTAGTAGTAGTAGTAGTAGTAGTAGTAGTAGTAGTAGTAGTCGTAGTAGTAGGGTCAGTTTCACACAAAGATGAGTGCACATGCGGCAATCGCCCGCAAAGTGTTGAGCCCGCTCGCACAGCGTCCAATTGAAACAGTCGTAGTAGTAGTAGTAGTAGCAGTAGCAGTAGTGGTTGCAGTAGAAGAAGAGGAAGTAGGCCGTAGTAGTCGTACTGGCAGTGGTGTGGTAGTGGCAGCGGTAGCGGTAGTGGTAGCGGTAGTGGTGGTGGTGGTGTTGTTGGTATGGTGGTGTAGTGGTAGAGTGGTGGAGTGGTATAGTGGTATAGTAGCAGAGTGGCCGTGGTCCTCGTCGTGGTAGTAGTGGTGATGGTGGTGGTAGCAGAAGTAGCAGTAAGAGTAAGTAGTAGTAGTAGTAGTAGTAGTAGTAGTAGTAGTAGTAGTAGTAGTAGTAGTAGTAGTAGTAGCAGTAGCAGTAGCAGTAGCAGTAGCAGTAGCAGTAGCAGTAGCAGTAGCAGTAGCAGTAGTAGTAGCAGTAGCAGTAGCAGTAGTAGTAGTAGTAGTAGTAGTAGTAGTAGTAGTAGTAGTAGTAGTAGTAGTAGTAGTGGCAGTGGCAGTGGCAGTGGCAGTCGCAGTAGCAGTAGTCGTCCGCGTAGTAGTAGTAGTAGTAGTAGTAGTAGTAGTAGTAGTAGTAGTAGTAGTAGTAGTAGTAGTAGTAGTAGTAGTAGTAGTAGTAGTTAGTAGTAGTAGTAGTAGTAGTAGTAGTAGTAGTAGTAGTAGTAGTAGTAGCAGTAGTAGTAGTAGTAGTAGCAATTATAGTAGTAGCAGTTGTAGCATTAGCAGCTTTGACAGCAGCAGCAGCAGCAGCATTAGTCATTGAAAAAGCAGTCGCGCTGGTTTTCGGAATAGTACTGGGTATGCAGTAGCTGAAGCCATGATGGATGGTGGGTTTTAGCAGCAGTGATAGCCATAATGCTAGTGCTTAGACACAGTCATAGCCAGAGTGTTGGCCATCGTCGCAGTGAAGGTCACAGTATGACTAGTGGTAACAGTAGTCGTAATGGTAATCAGTAGTATCAGTCATAGTAATGAGCAAGAGTGTCAGTATAGGAGTATTCGAACTAGGAATAGTCGTATCAGTGGAACGATGTGACAGTAGCAGTGGTAGTGATTTAGGGGGGGATGGGGGTGTGAAGATGGGGACAGTGATAGGGATAAGGATGTTGCGGCTAGGGATGGTGTTGCTTGGGTAGGTGGGTGGGGGAAGAGGGGCGGAGCCTTCTGAAACCAGGGAAGGGGGAGATTTGACTGTCTTCGCTTCGAGGCACCGCTTGGCATGGCAAGAATTTCCTTTCCCTGCGGCCCTGCAAGGATGCCTGTCGGCAATGTGTGACGGACTCGCAGAACAGAGCAATTTGGCTGAAGCAAGCGGAGCTACTTCAGCTACACTTTCGTGTACGAGATCGACGAAACTTAGAGGGCGCCGCAAAACCAGCTTCGATCGGGACTGCGTGTTGAACGTGACAGAAAGGTTTACGGAACGGCCAGAATTCGCGACTCCGAAACAGGTGAAATACGGAATTCTGATGAATGCTGCTTAAGTTGTGCCGAAGGTCTTTTTACACCTTGGCCTTGCCACTGTGCAGACCAGATCGGGTCTGACGGTATCAGAGGGCGGGTCCAGCTCCCGAGGTCATCGAGTTCGAGGGCTACAAGCCTTCTCGCCTCGGGCGGTTCGTATCAATGCTGGTGCCGATGACGACCGTGCTGATCGTCATCCTTTTCGTCTCGCAGCAGCACATTGTTTTGTAGTTTGTTGTGTGCGTTCGATTTGGCTGCCCTCCTTCGAGTAACACCGAAGTGCCTGCCGGTCAAAGCCGACGGTCTGTCGTGAAAGTATGTGGAAGGAAAATCAAGAACCAGATTGCTTCCAAGAGCCGAATTCCCAAAGCAGTCTTCTTGTCATGACTTTGATGTGAAAACGAAGAGAAGCCCGAGGTCGTCGTTGTGGCAGATTATTACTGGGGCGGCCTGGACTGCGGTTGCAAGGTGAATTGCAACCACCACCTAGCCGAAGTTCTGGTTTCTGGACATTTTTGCTGTGACTTAGATTGCGAATGGAGCTGGCCCGACCATCTTTGCTTCATAGGCATCTGCGGCTGCACAGAGTCTCTGGCGTCCTCCGAATTGCTGTGCCTTTCATCAAATGTGATGGTGATGGAATGAAGCATTGAGGTACATTTCCAATCTTCGGGAGCTTTGACACCAACTCGTACGTGCGTCATGGCTGCTTTGAGACCCAGCAAGGTAGAGCCGCTAGTACCAGCTGAGTGATACCAAAGTCTGAAAGCCACGAGGTTCTTGATACTGTGGTGCCTGGGCGTGACCTGGTTCTTCTTCCTGATTGTGAATACTGGCGGTCAGATGATCAAGCAGTTCGGCTTGAGAGCACCATTCCGCAAGGCCCTGGGTACATTTCTGCATGTTTGAGTCGAACAGAGCCTTGCCATTCTGAAGCCCCAGGCTTAACAACGCAGTGTGCTTCTGGCCTGACAGTGTGAAAGTGTTGCTCTGCGACCTCCGTTTTGCTTATTACTGGATTCCTAGAACTCTGTACGGCTGGGTGAATTTCTGCTGAAGTTGGCTGTAACTGCCTCGGAAGGCGGCGGTCATCTGTGTGTCCGTGCAGGAACGTCAGGACATTGCACCGAGGGTGGAAAGTTTGACGAAGAGCTGTTGGACAGTGTTTGAGACAGCCATCTTCAGACGGCTCGATGCGGGCTCCACTTGTGACATCCCAGGAGACAATTAGCAGTGGATACTCGCGGACGTTGGCATTGCGAAAGAAGGCAGGAAAGCGTGTGAGCTTCTCGACATGTTTGTAGAATGGACTGTCAATGAGTCAAGCTGGTTCACTAGTTCACTGGGTGTTGGCCGGCAGGTCGGCGCTCTGAGCAGCGTAGTGGCGTAGTGGGTGCATTCGGGGTTCTCACACTTTTGCTGGTGCTAGGCGCTGGGCTTGGTGGCCAAAGTCCTTGGAGCGAAGGCCGCCTCTGTCAGTTGAACATGGAGGAGAACTCACCGTTTTCTGAAATGCAGCTCCTAGCACTCAGGATCTGCCGGGTGGCTTTCTGTCGCTGTCCGGCGCATCATCCCAGACAATTCCTCTAAAGTACGACCACTCCAGCAAGCTCTGGTACGTGGAGCCCCTCGGCGACCACAGCTAGAAGGCTTCTGGGTTTGAAGACCACTTCGCCCTCCACAACCAAGCGCCTGCCGCAAGGTTTCGCTGCCAGAGATATGTGTATGCCGGAGCCCGAATTCACTCACTGTATTTTTCAGCAAGCAATTCGTATTGTCAACATCTCACATCGGTCTTGCAGTTCGTACAGTGATTGCAGCAGGGTCCTCCTGTGAGCTGTCGGTCAAATCTTCGGAGCACTGGAGTTTAGCCGAACCTCTGGACCCATCGCTGGGTCCTGCCCTACGCAAGGAATACTTGACACAAGTTCATAGCAGTCATAGCATGGATTGAGATTTCGGGGGAGAGAGACAGAAAGGCTGGCCGTTTTCCCCCCGTCGCCATAGGCTTGAATGATCATCCATCGCCGAGGATCCTGTCACCGACGGCTTTTTGCAGCACGATCCCAGCACAAGCAGCTCGCAGAAGAATCTCTAGCTCGTCGAAGGTGTGAGGGTGTGCATGGTTGTCTTGACTGTGAAAATCGCAGCATGTTCAAGGTCTGAGGAGAGGTCATGCGGCCTTCGATGCGCTACTAGCAGAAGGGGGGCTGAGGCCTGGCCTGCACGAGCACTTTGAGCAGGAAGGGACCTGCAC